GTAAATTAGTTTCAAGGTAGAAACCCACTGTAGAAATCTGTATCCAACGGCTTCGGGCATTCCCAGGGATGGGCAGGGTAAGATTTTTGGATGTAAATACACCATCCCGACTCCTGATGCTGTGAGAGAAGCGTCACCGGCCTACCGGATGTCCTTGTGCTGGGGTGACCTCCACTGGTACTCGATGGGGTGAGTGCAGGCTGGGGCTGTCCTGACAAAGGGAAATCTCCAACTTTCCGCTTCCCAGCCCGATAACTCAGGCTTGGGGAGTGAGGGTGTGTGTGCTTTGGGGAGGGCATAAAGAGCTAATGTACGAGCTCGACAGCCCACTGATGCAATTTCCTAATGAACATTTTCAGTACCAGAACCATCCGTAGTTGGTGTAATTTAAAGGTGCAGGCTGCTTTGGACAAGAAACCTTGAGAGGATATTAGATTGTAGAGCAGCAAAAGTGATCTACAGACAGAAGCCTAGGGGGTTAACGGCTCATCCGTCAACCAAGACTGATATGGATTGAGTTGTAAAGGACTAAAATCACCTGGAAGAGTAAAGTCATGGATCAGCTTAAAAGGGAGGATGTTGTAGAGCAGACAAGCAGGCCAGGCCCCTATGATGGGCTGTAGCACCTATGATGATAATGTCTGAATGGAAGGATGTGGTGAAACAGGCCAGGGCCCTACTAATGACTAATTGGTGTGTTTATCTATCTCTATTTCTCCCATTTAGCGGCATACTTATTTTAATTATTTAATTTGAATTTTTGGATGATGTTTAAGAATGATCAACACATAATTAAGTCTAGACATGGCTATAAATCAAAATTCAGCATGTACCCTATTCAAAGACCTATTTACACAAAAAATATTTCAATTGTATAAGTGGGCTTTTGAGTCGGTCACAGGAGGTTTTCACCAAGTACATTGATTCTATTATAGAAAACAATAAGACTGTGCCAGTGTGTGAGCATATGACTGATTCTGTTCAGTGTGGTTACGGTATACATATAGAAAAGTGAAGTGAGTCGCTGTTATAGATAATACTGAATGTTTAATAGTTTTAAGTCTTTTTAATAAGCAATTATTTTTAAGGTTTCGATGAAAACCTTTAAAATAATTTCCCAGCCAAAACTGAAAGAGTACACTAATAAGCAGATTACACACTTTTCAGGGTTTTCCTGGCCAAAACTAAGATTGTGGTCGGCTTAAGATCCATTGGGAATAAATTTCCAAGATCCCAATAATGGCAAGTTACCTCAAGATTATTACCCAGTGTGATAAATCAAGCATCAAGTTAAAATGTAAAAAAATAAAACCAAAATTTTTTTTTTTAATTAGTTGCATGGGTAATGAAAAATAAATAGAATAAAAAGGACTGGATTTACCTGAAGTAAAATGTTGACCAGTCATTGTCCTGGCATGTCATGATTCCTCCTGCACATTCATCATAAGAGCAGCTGTGAATTCTGGCAGTGATGGGGGTCTTCAAGTGATCTCTGTGAAAACAACAACTTTAACCTGGAAGTAAAATAATACATTAATTAGTAGAAGACAGAAACTTTATTATATTAGAGCGCAAGCTTGCATTAATATGAAGACAATATCCTATGAACAATTTTAACCTGAAAGTTACCATCATAAAAAGTACCAAAAAAATTAATCACACACTTGGTGTAATCATTGCTTTTACACCAGCCATGTTTACATGGGTGTTTCGACAAAAAATTCCTGGTTCTCTAAGGGAAAGTTGAATAGCTTTGTTTATTTAATCTATTAAATAGTTAAAGTCCAACCACTATTGGAATTAGGGAGGTGGTGTTAAATGAACAAAAGAAAACCTTCAAAATGGTCACGTCAAGCTCAGCGCAAGATTTTAACTACAACTGCATTACAGTAGTGAATCTTTAAAAATTTAAATAAGATTTTTTGTCACAGATCAATGGTAATATAATTCTAACCTGCAAGATGTAACTCTTGATTATTACTACTATGATTTTAACCAAAAAAATGTATGCTATAGCGACAGATGAATCTAAATATAAGAAGCAATCAATCTAAATAGCTCTTTTGCATTTTTTAATTATTTCTTTTACAGCAAAAATGCACTCAATATGTCAGAAGGAAATTTAGATTTTTTAGGGATTTTTAGCTAATTTTAACTAAATTAGGAATGTGCAAGACTTTACCCTAACCTAATCAGTGAAACTAACCATTCCAATACAGTCTTTTGATATTTCTTACATGCACTAGCTGGATTTATCTTTATATAAAGTGCATTCAAAGGATCAAGATACTAATATTTATTATTGGAAGGGGGATTAGGATGATGCTAGGTGTTAAGAGAAAATGTAAAGATATGTGTTTATTATGGCATGTAATTGACTAGGACAGAGGCTCCCAGACTGTGTCCTGCTGCAACCTGAAGTGTTAAAAAATGAATGGACTTAATGCAAGCCATTGATAATTAAGTTGGTATTTTTCACTAGTTTTCCAACCTACTTGGTACTCTACTTGATAGAGTCAAGTGAAGCTATTGAGGTATGTCTTCTTGTATAAGTATAAGGTTTCAAAAATGGATTAGATTGTTTAAGACAATCAAAATGATTAAGTTTACGATAATGTTGTGAATCCTTGGATTAGGATTAGGGTTTCTGAATTGGATAGAGATGACCCCTATGAATTTTTAGAAAAAATAGAGCCTTTAAATATGCCTCATGGGATAAGCACCCCATTTGAGTACTTATGCTAATTTTTACACAATATATCATTAAAATGTTTGTGAGAGAGAATAATAATAACTATTAAGTATGCAGACAACTTTCTCAGTAACATCCAGCTCAAATAAACCATAATTGGATGCACAATGGTGAAAAGGATCGCCCTGTCTGAAGCAACCGAAAAGTACCCTGAGGGCAGGAAAAGGAGAACTCTGTGCCAGGGGTGTCTAAAGGGCCTCCATGGGCCTTATTTCCCAAAACACATGTGTTAGGATCCATTCATGCGTCATCCATCAAAAAATTCACATAATTTACACCGGTAAGCCATGTTTATTCTCAGTTGAAGTCAACGAGTCTGTTTACACGTAGAAAAAAATCCTGTCGGTCGAGTTTTGCCACAACAATGGGTCAATGGAGGCATTTGTCAGGAGATTAGTGATTACACATCACACTTATGCCAATAATCACAGCACATATCCTGCTGGGCACAACAGTCATGTCAGATCAATAGAGAGCATATAATGCAATTGGCACCACTCCGGGATTGACTCATCAAACGGTCATTCATTCTGTTAAGTTTTTGGATCCAAACTCAGGTGCCAATAGCCAATACCCAAAGCATCGAACGTTTGCGGAAATCTGCAAAAGAGAGAAACAAGCACCACAACGGCACACACAGACATATGCTTGACTTGTCAATGTTTGAGTTCATGTGGCGTCAACGTGTTAAAGTAAATGGTTTTTATGTCTTCAACGCCATTCTAGACGATATTGTTCAATTTTGGCCATTATAGTAGCGGAGGACCTTTAAAGAAGTATGTATGTTTTTATTCAAAATAACATTTGTTTTAGTTTTATTGGAAGTGTGAAGTGTTTTAAGTTTTAATGGAAATGTGAAATGATGTATAATAATTTTTGAATAAAAGTTTTTTAAGCTAATTCAGATTGATCAGGTTTAGGGATACATTTTAGGGTTCATGTTAGGTTTAGGGATACATTTAGGGTTCAGGTTAGGTTTGGGGATACATTTAGGACATAAGTTCGTGGGTCACGATAACCAAGATGGCGGCCGCGGGCTGATCTCTCCGAATTGTTTTTTACTCAAAAGAACATTTGTTTTATGGGAAGTGTGAATAATAATAATTTTTACGATGAATTAAAATTGAAGTATCCACTTCTGATACCGGGTCCGAATAGTCGCAGCCAAACTTTTCATTAAAATTACAGATAAGACAGTAGCCAATTTGCCGCCAAAAAAAAAAATCAACTTTGATCTTGAATCTTGATTGATGTCATGTTAATGATTATCGAACTATATTTAAAATAGAACTAAAAACTACAATAAAATTATAAACATAAACGTATTCTTACTTGATTTTAGATGTACGACACAATGTTCTTCGTGTTTTTTCAACGCCACAAGAAAATCTTCAAAATATGGCACATTTTCCACATTGATAAAAATGGCTCAAACTCAAAGATGGCTAACCAATTAACCAACAGGAAGTATCCGTCATACCCGTCACGTGACCAACCGAATATTATAAAGACCTCACATCACCAGCTGGGTCCGAATAGCCATTTGCTGCAATAGGTTATGCTCCAGTCAATTTTATAATAAAATAATCAAATTGCCAATCAAGGAATTCTTGTGTAACGCTACCCATTGGCATTTTGCTTGCTTATTGTTGACATATTGTATGTAAGGATAATCGAGTTCTGTCTAGTAAATGTCCCACTAGTATAAGCTTTTGTTTGTTGTTGTTTTTTTTTTATTGTTTTAATTTTAAACAATGACTAGAGTTCTTTCACATTTTCTTTATATTAAAGTTATCTGTCATTCATTTGACATTGATAAATTATACTTTTCAATTTTTAAGAGATTTTATGAAGTCGTTCTTAGTTGTCGTTATTTAGTTGTGTTTTTTTTTAAAATCTAAATTGCTTTTTTACTCCGTTTCTTGACCAGTTTATATACTTATTAAAATAAGCAGTTTCATTATAACATATTCATTTTAGTTTTTAGCAATGAATAGACACATATTCATGAACAAAATCTAATAGACACAGTCATTATAATTATTCTTTTTAATGCATTTATTATTATTTTAGATTATCTAATTAATTTTTTTTCTTCCTGGAGTAGAGCCATTTGTTTGTATTTTAATTTGTTTTTTTTTTTTTTTTTTTTTTTTTTTTTTTTTTTTTTGGGGGGGGGGGTGTTAGATCGCAAATTTATTAATTCTAATCATAAAGAAGTGATTTCACATTTATCTCTACAAAAGTCAGACCCACTACTCACATCTGTGAGACATCACTTCCTTTGTTTTGGGCATGCATATTTTCTTAACAAAAGGCTATACAAAACATCAGTGCTATACATTTTTAAAAAATGTGCTGGAACTAAAATTATTCTATTTAATTGTTGGATAACATAACTAAATTGCGGCAAAATTGGGCGTTACTGTGCGTTATATTATAAATAATCACTGCAAAAACCCACTGCAAGACTGAACCAACACTGTTAAAATAGAAATACGTAAGAGAGAGAAACAAATCATTGTCATAATTAACTGTTAGGCTCGCTGCAAGAGAATAGATGTAAGCAAGATGTTAATCGGAATAATTGATAAGATAAATTGAGGGTGATGTAGGGCCAAGGGAATGTTGGGCCAGTGTGATGTAGGACCAATATAATGTAGGGCCAAGGAGATGTAGGGACAAGGTGATGTAGGGCTAAGGTGATGTAGGGTCAAGGTGATGTACGGCCAAGGTGATATACGGCCAAGGTGATTTAGGGCAAATGTGATGTAGTGCCAATGTGATGAAGGGTCAATGTGATGTAGGGCCAATGTGATGTAGGGTCAATGTGATGTAAGACCAATGTGATGTAGGACAAATGTAATGTGTTGTAGGACAAATGTAATGTGATGTAGGACAAATGTAATGTGATGTAGGGCCAATGTGATATAGGGCCAACGTCATGTAGGACAAATGTAATGTGATGTAGGGCCAATGTGATGTAGGGCCAATGTGATGTAGGGTCAATGTGATGTAGGGCCAATGTGATGTAGGACAAATGTAATGTGATGTAGGGCCAATGTGATGTAGGGCCTATGTGATGTAGGGCCAACGTCATGTAGGACAAATGTGATGTAAGGCCAATGTGATGTAGGATAAATGTAATGTGATGTAGGGCCAATGTGATGTAGGACCAATGTGATGTAGGACAAATATAATGTGATGTAGGACCAAAGTGATGTAGGGTCAATGTGATGTAGGGCCAATGTGATGTAGGACAAATGTAATGTGATGTAGGGCCAATGTGATGTAAGACAAATGTGATGTAGGGCCAACGTCATGTAGGATAAATGTAATGTGATGTAGGGCCAATGTGATGTAGGACAAATATAATGTGATGTAGGGCCAAAGTGATGTAGAGCAAATGTGATGTAGGGTCAATGTGATGTAGAGCCAATGTGATGTAGGGCCAATGTGATGTAGGACAAATGTAATGTGATGTAGGGCCAAAGTGATGCAGGGCCAATGTGATGTAGGACAAATGTAATGTGATGTAAGGCCAATGTGATGTAGGGCCAATGTGATGTAGTGCGAATGTGATGTAGGACAAATGTAATGTGATGTAGGGCCAATGTGATGTATGGGTCAATGTGATGTAGGACAAATGTAATGTGATGTAGGGCCAATGTGATGTAGGGCCAATGTAATGTAGGACAAATGTAATGTGATGTAGGGCAATGTGATGTAGGGCCAATGTGATGAAGGGTCAATGTGAAGTAAGGCCAATGTGATGTAGGACAAATGTAATGTGATGTAGGGCCAATGTGATGTAGGGCCAAAGTGATGTAGGACCAACGTGATGTAGGATTGTAATGTTAATGTGATGTAGGGCAAATGTGTTGTAGTGCAAATGTATTGTAGGACAAATGTAATGTGATGTAGGGCAATGTGATGTAGGGCCAATGTGATGAAGGGTCAATGTGATGTAAGGCCAATGTGATGTAGGACAAATGTAATGTGATGTAGGGCCAATGTGATGTAGGGCCAATGTGATGTAGGACCAATGTGATGTAGGACAAATATAATGTGATGTAGGGCCAAAGTGATGTAGAGCCAATGTGATGTAGGGCCAATGTGATGTAGGGCCAATGTGATGTAGGACAAATGTAATGTGATGTAGGGCCAATGTGAGGTAGGGCCAATGTGATGTAGGGCCAATGTGATGTAGGACAAATGTAATGTGATGTAGCGCCAATGTGATGTAGGGCCAATGTGATGAAGGGTCAATGTGATGTAAGGCCAATATGATGTAGGACAAATGTAATGTGATGTAGGGCCAATGTGATATAGGGTCAATTTGATGTAGTACACATATAATGTGATGTAGGGCCAAAGTGATGTTGGGCCAATGTGATGTAGGGTCAATGTGATGTAGGGTCAATTTGATGTAGGACAAATATAATGTGATGTAGGTCCAATGTGATGTTGGGCCAATGTGATGTAGGACAAATGTAATGTGATGTAGGGCCAATGTGATGTAGGATCAATTTGATGTAGGATAAATATAATGTGATGTTGGGCCAATGTGATTTAGGATCATTGTGATGTAAGGCCAAGGTTATGTAAGGGCCATATGATTAATCATTCACTGAATTTGAAGATTATATAAAAATTATATACAACAGAGTATGAGATTTGTGACGAGTGCTTAAAAGTCCAAAATAAAGTCCATTTCAAAGGTGGGTAACCGCATATTTTGCATGCATGGTCTGTAGGCCTACATGAGGCGAATGTCACATGCCGTCAAGACGAGCGTCCCATGAGCGAGAACTCTGTTCAACTAATTTGTCATCCTAATTTTCATCTCCACAAAAGTCAGGAAAAAATTCTGCCTCAGATTTTCCCAAAAAATCTCCTTGTTGCTGTCACCGGTTTCCCAGACTCCGTTGAGGTTACAGAGTTGTGTGGAGTGGTGATACCACCATCCGCCACTGTGGAATAAAGCCCAGTTAATGTTTCCATTCGTGTCGTAATCTCGGTCGTAAGTAGAGAAGGCAACGTTGTCGCCGAGTCTCAGGGCGTTGGGTGCATTCCCGCTGAAGTTTCCGCCCACCCGTATCCTGTACAGCGAAGTCTCGTCCATCACCCTAAAGATGCCATACTTGGCGTAGTAATCGCTTCCCTTAAAGCGCAGGTCGATTCTCAGCTCGAAATTTTCCTAGACGGGAAAAAGGATAATAATAAGAGAGTGGGGGGCGGGGAATTTAAATCAGCTAATTATTAATTTTTTTATTTAACTGTAATTAAATGAACGAAACAAATAAGAGAAGTTTTTCTAAGTCTCGTTATCTTTAAATTAAAGCCACTTTTTTAATTGTTCGACCACGGAAACCTTTCACCCCCCCAGTCTTCCATTCGGTGTGAATGTTTGGGGTCATAGAAGGTAGATAATACATACTTCACCCACCCCCCTCTCCCCTTTTTCCCACCTGGTTGTGGGGCAGAGAATTGTGGCTTAATTATTTAAGAAATAAATATTGTTCACGGCCACTTCATTATTTTTCAATAAGATTTCACAAAATTTTGACTACGATGATTAAACTCTAAGTAAAAGGAGGTCATTAGACAGTACACCTTTTTGGTCAAGGTCGCTATAGCCTCCAGCCCAAGCCAGAAGTCGCCATAAAACGACCCAAAGCCTTTCTTGTAATCGGCCCACGGCCTGTCGAAACTGACGTCACCCATGACACGCCTCTGTAAAACGAACAAACAAATAGGCTGCACTTAATTTTTATCACATTCTTTAGCAGATGCAGAGGCATAGCTAAGGGGGGCAGGATGTACAGATGTCCCTGGGTGCCAGACTAGTTAGGGCGCCAAAATTTGCTTTGATGTTATTTTATTGGTGAAAATAATGTGTTTGAGAGTTGAAAAAAGAAAGGGAGACTCTATAAAATTAATCTTGTCCCCCGGGCGCCAAACACTTTAGCTACGCCTCTGAGCTGCAGAAGCAGACAGTAAAGTAAAGATTCAACAATCTTATTGATGTATTACAGAATATCAGTCATCTGTAGTAGTACAGTGACTATATTATGACCCGCATTACAGAATCATGCAGTATTATCTTATATGTAAATTAAAAAGTCCTACAGCTGCTTGTAAAATACCACACCATTTCTGGTACAGCGAATTACCTGTATGATAATCCAGCCCCTGCAGTCCGTCTCGGTGTCACACATGACCTCAATGTTATCTACGGGTGCTATTGCCCGGGCGTCCAACGACTTGTTCATCGCCTTCACACAAACGGGCTGTGGGAAAAAGAAATCGCCCCAACAGCATCAATCTCAATGTCCCTCACTCTACTCTCCCAGCCCGTGCATGATTTGCACTAGTAACTGTCCTTTAATTGTGGTTTAAATTTTTCATTTCATTACTATTAATGTGTTTTATTGATGACCACTTTACTTGATTGAACACTTTAAGTTCAATCTCGTGTATGCAAATTAGAGAACATTAAAACAAAAAAAATTCTTCTCCATATTCTTCTAGACTATCTTTATATATATTGGATAATATATGTTCAAATAAGCCAATGCAATTTTATATCGATGCAATTGAACTTACAACCCTTTTTAAGAAGGTCGCAGGTTCCACTTTCGCCTCGGGTTTGTGCGTCAGCGTGAAGAAGGACGATGAGAGATTGGCCAGAATCGACTCAAGCTTGTGCTGGTTCTCCTTGACCTTGGCGATCTCCAACGCGTTGGCCCTTCGTATCGTGCTCTCGACCTCCGCCAGTCTCTCCGACAGAAACGAGGCGATTCTTACCTCCAGGTCCGACAAATCTTTCTGGAGAAGACGCGCTGTCAAGGCAACGTCTGGGCTACTCACTTCCGGAGGTGAAGTAAATTTTTCCCAGACGTCGACGACTTCCAGCGAATTTTTAAACTGGATCTCGCAGGAGAAGTTGCCGCTGTTGCAGTCTTCTTTCCCGGAAAACGTTAGATTGAGTTCCCCCGAGCTCTCGGACATTGAACCCACCACTGTCGTATCGATACCGGTGTGAGCTTGAATATCCGATTCCCGCGCCAGCACTGTGGCCAGGAGAATTTTTTCATTCGAGTTTTGGATCCTGTAAACGTTCATCTTTATTAAGGTCGTGATGTTGTTGCTGCTTCCGCTGGACGCGTAACAGTGGAGCTGTGCGCAGATGGTCGAGTTCCCCACTCTGCGCGGTGGTCTGTCCATGTTTAGATCGAAACCTGTTAATAGGAACGAAACATAACATTATTTTTAAACAAGCACTATCGATGTGATACATGGTTTGCTGACCCGTTAAATAATAATAATAAGAGGTCTTATATAGCCCGGTACCCCAGCCTAGGGCTGGGCTCACCGCGCTGTACATAAAAATTTTATCAAAAGAGACATAATCATGACATTAAAATAAAATACATTTATGAAATAAAGAACAGCAATGTATATTCACCCACCCCACCCCATAACTTTTACAAGGCAAACCATGGACGGCAGCCAGCAAGATCATTTATCGGTCAGAGGAGGGGAATCAGTCAGGGTAGTATAATTTTAAAAAAGATATGTTTTTAGTGCAGTTTTGAAGGCCTGGGTGGTTGGTATATTGCGTATGTGTAGTGGCAAAAAATTCCATTGTTTGGGGGCGCAGAAAGAGAAAGATCGTTCACCATATGTTTTAGTGTGTGTCTTGGGAAAGGACAGAATACGCGTGTCTGCAGAGGTACGATGACTAAGTTAAGAAGACTAAGTTATGATGACTTAGTGACGATGACCATGCTACAAGGACCAAGTTTCATTGACTACGTTACAATGACTAAGTAACGTTGATTAAATTACAATGACTAAGCTACGATGACCAAGTAACGAATAGTTAGGTGAATGAACGGTCACATTTGTAGCCCTGCATTCAGTGAACGATTCATCACATTTGTAGCTCTGCATTCAGTGAACGATTCATCACATTTGTAGCTCTGCATTCAGTGAACGATTCATCATATTTGTAGCTCTGCATTCAGTGAACGATTCATCACATTTGTAGCTCTGCATTCAGTGAACGATTCATCACATTTGTAGCTCTGCATTCAGTGAACGATTCATCACATTTGTAGCTCTGCATTCAGTGAACGATTCATCACATTTGTAGCTCTGCATTCAGTGAACGATTCATCACATTTGTAGCTCTGCATTCAGTGAACGATTCATCACATTTGTAGCTCTGCATTCAGTGAACGATTCATCACTTTGTAGCTCTGCATTCAGTGAACGATTCATCACATTTGTAGCTCTGCATTCAGTGAAAGATTCATCACATTTGTAACTGTGGATTTCGTGAACCATTCCTATTCAAACTTCAAAATGTTTTTAAATTTATTTTCCGTTTGTAGATTATTGTTTTGTTTTTTGTCCACCCCTCAAGAGGTCCTAGATATATTTATCTCCTCCTGGGGTGAGCAAGGCTTTTTTCCCACCGCCCTCCAGAATTCCTAGATACATTTAGTGCCTCCAGAGGGTCAGCTTTTTCCAAACCCCCCTCCCCCTTCCCTTTCCACGAAAAAACCCTCTGCAAAGGGCCGCAAATACCGCCCATAAACATAAGGAGAAAATTGTGCCTGGGACGCAACGCCCCCTCCGCTACTCCTTCCTACGCCACTGCACCCCCACCCCTTCGATGACCTGTTGGTGCCTCCACCATGTCTGTTGTTGACTTACCTTGATTGGTAAAACCAGTAAATAAAAGTTAGATACTAATCCAAAACTCGGAGCCACTCACCATGGGTCCGTGTACATTTTATAGATCGTGTAGTTGGTGGGTGGGTGGTTCATTATTTTGTTATATTGTGTTACATGGGTTGGGCGGGTCGAGAGCAATGCTATATAACTTTTTAAAAATAAAAATTTCTGCTATTCAAATTTAAGAAATCGGCATTGATTATTAAAAGCTCATATGTTCTGTTAAAAATTATTATAATTAGCACATTTTATAAATACTATTCCTGGCATTTTGCTTGAAATTTGCTTGTTTTTGGACTTCATTCGGGTTTATATGGGGTGGGGGTGCTAGAAATAATAAATAATATTAGGGAGGGTGGTCAATGAAAAGTTGTGTGACGTTTTAGGGGCAAGGGGCGGGTAAAAGGTCATATTTCGTTGACCTAAAATGTGTGGTTAAAGCAATACAGCAGCTGGGAATCCAAGCATGTAAAAGAAAATAATCAGGTCTGAGTGGAAGGAAGTGGTGAGGCAGGCCAAAAGTCCTGTATGGGCTGTGGCGTCACAGGGGTGGATGGATGATATGTGCCTAGTCCCCTAAGACAAGTAAAATGTTTAACGCAAGTGAAAAGGATACTAACAATCTACATGTATCGTAAATACTCGCCTTGGTTAGCAACAACTGGCAATACAAGTAAAACTGTTACAATCAATCTAGCAGCCATGGTAATTGTCCAGTACTTATCCAGTTGACAAACATATACTGGGAAGAAGTCTAAAAATCCTCGACCACGTATCTCTGCCGCTAATGAATCGTTTGTAGCTGCATCTAGCTCAATCTGGTCTTATATATCCAACATAATGCACACTACTTTTGTTGTTTGTTTTTTTTTACCGGCGTGAGCGGCGTGGGGTGGCGTTGGTGAGTAGCAGAAATCTTGAAACAAACTTCAGATCGTAATGAAATGAATACGTGTTTTCCCCTATCGCCTATGTGCAACCTGGGAATCTGGTTAAAATAAACATTTACGTTTGCCTGATAAACTATCTCGGTGTTTAACTTTTAAATAACTTTTTTATTTTGGATACATTTTCCAGTCATGGCCATTGACGTAAATTTCTCTTCTTGACAGCTCCTTTACATCAACTCATTTAGGCCAACTCATTTAGGCCAGCTCATTTAGGCCAACTCATTTAGGCCAACTCATTTAGGTAATCTATTTAGGTCAACTCATTTAGGCCAACTCATTTAGGTAATCTCATTTAGGTCAAATCATTTAGGTCAACTCATTTAAGTCAACTCATTTAAGTCAACTCATTTAAGTCAACTCATTTAAGTCAACTCATTTAAGCCAACTCATTTAGGTAATCTCATTTAGGTCAACTCATTTAGGTCAACTCATTTGGGTCAACTCAATTAAGTTAGCTCATATAGGTCAGCTCAATTAGGTCAAGGCATTTAGACAAACTCATTTAGGTCAACACATTTCTGTCAACTTATTTAGAAAAAATCTTGTAGAACAACATATTTAGACCAACTCATTTAGGTCAAATCATTTAGGTCAACTCAATTAGGTCAACTCATTTAGGTCAGCTCATTTGGGTCAACTCAATTAGGTCAACTCATTTAGGTCAGCTCATTTGAGTCAACACAATTAGGTCATCTCATTTAGTTCAACTCATTTAGGTCATCTCGTTTAGGCCATCTCATTTAGGTCAACTCATTTTGGTCAACTTAATTAGGTCAACTCATTTAGGTCAACTCATTTAGGTCAATTCATTTAGTTCAACTCATTTAGGTCAACTCATTTAGGTCAACTCATTTAGGTCAACTCATTTAGGTCAACTCATTTAGGTCAACTCATTTAGGTCAACTCATTTAGGTCAACTCATTTAGGTCAACTCATTTAGGTCAACTCATTTAGGTCAACTCATTTAGGTCAACTCATTTAAGTCAACTCAACTTCACTATTCCGGTGCTTCTCGGTGTTTCTTTAAGACAGTTCAGCAAGACTGTTGTCAATATTGAAGCAGGAACAGAGATTTAAATATATATTTTAAAAAAAAATATATATATATATACTTAGCTCTCTGTTTTATTTGTTATGTTTTTAATTTATCAAATTTAGCACACGCTAAGAGCGTTTGAGCGCTGAGGGAACTATTTGTGCTGTAGGAGCTATTTACAAAATATTAAAAAGAAAAAAAAAAAGAGAGAGAGAAACGTATATAATCTTTTTACTGAAGGCAATGCTGGCAATGTTAAGGGTCAGCACTTATATGTCGTGTCGACCCTAAGACATATTACTTTGAAAATTCTTCGTGGGGAAAATAAAATATTATAATTTCAAAAAAATAAAATAAAATGCCCTGCCTTGAAACTATGACGTCACCTGTTTGTAAACAATAAATTACATTCATGAGGCGGAACTATTTTAAAAAAAAATAATAATAATAATACCAAATTAAACGTTTCTGTCTGCAAATCTGAAGCAGCAAATACTATTGTAGCACATCAAAAAAATGGTTTTAACTGAAGTTAGTGCTGAAATGCCAATGTCTCACAAAATAACTTCGTTTAAATTGTTAAAAGATAGAATCGTCTTTAAATATTTTTTAATTATTTTATTTTATTATTATTATCATTTATATATATATATATATATATATATATATATATATATATATATATATATATATAAGACACAGCCGCGTAGAATTTCAGTCGGTATTTCAGCCGGTTGGGGGGGGGGGAGGAGGTTACAACAATGCTGGTATCTCGCTAACTTATTATCTCCACACACAAGTCTTAAGGTGATCGATGTGGCAGTGTGTACTGTTACCACAGATACGGTTAGCAATTTGTCCTTTTTTTTGTAAAGGTTCATTAACTTATTTCTCTGGAACTTAAGTAAATTATGCAATAAATTATATCTTGCCGGAAAGGGGATTTTTATTCTCTATATCGTAGTCCCTACCTTTTGGAGGATAATATGTTAATATTAAGCAAATTAGAGTGTTTCCACATTCATCCATTTGGGATATTTACAACTGCTAGTCACACACCACCCGGCTACATAAAAATAAATATGTAAAGTAAAAGCGAATTTCAAAAGAATTATTATCTGCTGTTGCGTTTTATCCAACATCAAACACACATTGACATATCTCAGGATGGTAACGTCGACGTCATTTGCGAATACCTATCTGGCTGCTGTCAATATGAACAAAGGAATTCGACTTGGAACGTTTTTTGGGCATGGGCGCCCACAGAAAACTTTCTAGGGGGGGGGGGAATCGATTAACTTTCCAGGGGGGGTAAAAAAATTTTGAGTAATGTTTTAATGTATTTTTATACTTTCTAGGGGGGGGGGAATCGATTAACTTTCCAGGGGGGGGTAAAAAAATTTTTAGTAATGTTTTAATGTATTTTTAATTTACTGTAGCGTATTATTATGGTGAACGAACGGACAGGACATCAGCTTAGTTACTTTCTCTTTATTTTCTCTTTACTTAAAAAAATTTTTTGTCTATTTTTGTCTAAAATTTTTTTATCCAATCAATCCAGTGGGGGGGGGGCAAGTGCCCCACCTTGACCCTACCTGTGGGTGCCCATGGGGGTGGGGTATACTTAATTAATTAGAGGTGGTAAAGTGTATTATACTTAACAATTACTTTTGAAAATAACATAACGAAGTCTTAAACAAACATCAGTTTAATGCAAATAGTTAACAAATCTGTTCATGGCAGCTTACACTAATAAAGAAAATTATCAAATACTTTCATACGCCAACATACATCTTTGTACATGCCTGGTGTAGCATGGTGTGTCCTCCCAGAGACACACAAACAGTTCAATTAACACACTTGTTTGTGTAGATTTACAAAAAGTCCTCACACAAACACACACACAGCAAATAATGTTTGCGCTCTTTAAAAATAATTTATAACAATTCTAAAATGTATCACAAGTTAAATACTGATTATAAAAAAAAAGAAAGAAATTCAAACGTATGTAAATAGGTAAATGCAAGTTTAAATTTCTTAAGCTTTTTAAAATGTAAAGATAGCTTTATAGCCTCGATGTGATTAAGACTAAAGCATTGACATACTACAGAAGTACTGTTGAACCTCTGTCTTTAAAAAAAAAATGTTAATAATGTTAGATGTCTTAATTAAACCAGCAGTTCACAAACTGTGGTCCGTTTGGAGGTACACAAAAAATATTACATTGATAATTGCGGAAAACGTAACAAAAAAAAACAAAAAAAAAAAAAATATATATAAAAAAGTGGGGAAAAAAAAAAAAAAAAAAAAAAAAAAAAAAAAAAAGGGGGGGGGGGGGGGGGGGGGTAATTTTTTTTTTTTTTTTACACATGTTCATTGATAAGAAGCTATATTTCAATATTTAGCAGTATATGAACAACAGATTTAATTATTTAAAAAAAAAGAGTATAATTTTCGAATGAAATTAATAAAGAGAACACCGCTTGTTGTATTTAAGTCCGCAGAGGCGTAGCGAGTGTGTTTGGCGCCTGGGGACAAAATTCGCGTCCGGGGACATGATCCATTTTAAAGCGCCCCTTTTTCTTTTTTTAAACTTTCAAACCCATTATTTTCATTAATAAAATAATATCAAAGCATATTTTGGCGCCCCCTAACTAACTGGCGCCCGGGGACATCTGCCCCCCTCGCTACGCCTCTGTAAGTCCGATGTTGTTAGTTTTTATTGATTGTTTCCATCATTTTTACTGCCAATAGTTCTATTGCGATGTTGAGTTTAGGAAGTCATTATTGACACGTCATCAAGGGGGTTCTTATTGTAAAAATAGAAACTGAAATAAATTTTAATATAGAAAATGAAAGCCAATAAATTACAATAGATTTATCTGATTCATTAAATTATGTAGCGAATCTATTTTTTTCTCTTAAAATTTAGGGATGAGAAAGGGAAAAATAAGAGATGTGCTCATTTTAAACAAAGGATACCTGAGAAAAAAAGGTTTGGGACCGCTGAATTAAACAATAAATTTGAAGGAAGAAAAGAGATATTATATTTTAAGTTATTTTAACTTTATTTTTAAAACTTCTAACTTTAAAAAAGAAAATAATAAAAAAAATTAAAAAATTAAAAAAAATAAAAAAAAGATGAATAAAAACGTTCGCGTGGCGTCAAGGTTGAAGTAGAGTAGCCGACTAATGCTCAAATAAATCTTTCATCAGTTTACCTAAAACCTTCGACTCTCTAATGTCAATCAATAACACATTTTGTGTATCATCTTCATTATTTTCATTATAAAAATACATATACATTTAAATATTAAAAGCGTTGGAGAGTATCAATTGCACTCTAGAATAGCCATAATAAAATGTATCAAATTTCAAATAACTTATGTATGTACATAAAAGTGCCGCTATTTTATTTATCCTGGTCTTAGGTCATAATTACAAGCGTTTCGGTCATTGGTATATATATATATATATATATATATATATATACCTTTAATGCCTTCCATTTTGGAATTTAAATTTAAAATGTTTATAAAATTCTAGCATTTGCAAAAAGCATATGCTGTACTTTGGTAAAAAAAATAATTAGCGTATATTGAATAGAAAACGTATGACTACCTTTAACGAGTTAAAGCAAAGCTCTCAGAGATGACTTGTAACAGAAATGTGATGAAAAGACACCGGGATTTTTATTTTGTTCTTACTTTTAGATTTATTGAAAAATAAAAATCTTATTTATAATAATAATAATAATTTAACATTGAACAGAACGAAATCATATGATGTTTATTTGAAAGGATTGCAGTAATTTCAGTAATCCAATGTAATAATAAATTTTTTTTTTTTCAACAATATAATTAAATATATTTGTTGTAAACACAAATATAGTGAAGACAATTATGAATCATTAAAAAAAAAGTTGTACCAAATCGTGTTGTTTTGCCCAGTAAGTAGCGTAACTAAATCATTTGGCGATGTGGGTAGATGGGATTTTCCATGCGTGGGACAGAGTTGCAACAAATTATAACGTTACCTAAGGGGAGACTTTTAAATAATATAATGACGTCATATGCTGTAGCATGTGTCCATACTCAATTCCACCTCTTATTTAAGGTGTTTTATTAAAACACATATCCTATATCATATATATATATATAATTTACACCAGAAGACCAAACATTTGTCTATGTTGATTAATAATCTCATTTAAAGAAAGCAAAAACAAAACAACAAGTGAACCTTTTGTTCGTCTCTCAAGATCCCCATTTTCATGTATCAAATATAAACACATATTTACTGATACATATTTTTTTATATTAAAAAAAAAATATGTTTAACCATTTAGATAGACATGTTGTCTGTTTTAAAGTTGTTTTAAATTGAGTGATAAAAGCTGATTTAAATGCATTTTCAAAAAGGAATATTCAAAATTTAAAAATAAAACTTTGGGTAAATTCAACTCCACCGTGGCACATCAGAGTCACCACCGTGGCACATCAGAGTCACCACCGTGGCACACCAGAGTCACCACTGTGGCACATCAGAGTCACCACCGTGGCACATCAGAGTCACCACCGTGGCACACCAGAGTCACCACTGTGGCACATCAGAGTCACCACCGTGGCACCTCAGACTCACCACCGTGGCACATCAGAGTCACCACCGTGGCACATCAGAGTCACCACCGTGGCACACCAGAGTCACCACTGTGGCACATCAGAGTCACCACCGTGGCACATCAGAGTCACCACCGTGGCACATCAGAGTCACCACCGTGGCACATCAGAGTCACCAAGAGTTTTGTACAATACCTCGAATAATTAAACGTAGGCGAGAGCCTTGCCAAAATGTCAACATGATCGCGTGCTGTAGGTTCATTGGTTAATATAAGCACGCACAAAAACACGGTAGTCGTTGGCCATAAATTAAGTAGCGATGTTAGTCTTTGGCCACAGTTTAAGTACCAAAGTTTGTCTTTGACCATGTTTAAAGTACCAATTTTAGTCTTTGGCCGTAGTTAGAGTACCGATGTCTTTGGCTATATTTAAAGACCACTGTCAGTTTTTGGCCACAGTTATAGAACCAATGTCAGTTTTAGGCCATATTTAAAGTACCAACGTTAATTTTTGGCCATAGTTAAAGTACCAATGTTAGTCTTTGGCCATAGTTAAAGTACCAATGTTAGTCTTTGGCCATAGTTAAAGTAACAATATATTAGTGTTTGGCTATAGTTAAAGTATTTATATGTTAGTCTTTGGCCATATTTAAAGTACCAATATGTAAGTCTTTGGCCATAGCTAGGTACCAATGTTAGTCTTTGACCCTAATTAAAGTATACAAATGTTAGTCTTTGGCCGTAGTTAAAGTACCGATGCTAGTCTTTGGCCATAGTCAAAGAACCAAAGTTTGTCTTTGGCCATAGTTAAAGAACCAAAGTTAGTCTTTGGCCATATTTAGAGTAACAATTTTAGTCTTTGGCCGTAGTCAAAGTACCGATGTCTTTGGCCATAGTTAAAGTAATAATGGTAGTCTTTGATCATAGATTAAAGCTCAAATGTTAAAATAACTTTGAATAAATTCTTGAGATGAAATATTAGCCAAATGTCTCCACAACCTCAACACTGACTCTCCTTAAAATAGAACGTTCGTTCACACATTTCGTCCTTGGGCGCTTCAGGTATATCTGACCCGGCGGTATCGTCGACTCGTCGGTCCTCTTGCCTTAAGTTACCCGGATTCAATGACCCGACAGTGCTCCTGCGTAACGCGTTATCCGGTGGCTCTGGTTTTCCACGCGGTGACCTCACGAGTGTCCAAACGGCGACGATCTGTTTCCTGAACTCCAGGTTCATGGAGCCGTAGACAAAAATGTTGATGACGTTGTTGACGAAGTAAGAGCGAATGAAAATGTTGTAGAGAATGAGCGAAAATTCGTCCAGGCGATGCTCGAAGTCGACGTGGACAGATCTCAGGATGACGAGGATGAGGTGAGGGAGATAACTCAGTATAAACCCGAGGGTGATGACCGATGCAATGACCGTGGTGCGGGTGGCCTTCAAAGCCTTTTTGACGCGTTTGGCGGTCAGCGATTGGCTGGATTTGCTGTGCTTCAGCTGTTTGTGAAAATGCCCCGACTTGAGCGGGGCCAGAGATTCTGCTGGGATCGAACCAAAACTCTCCACGCTCCCGTTGGCTCTAAAACGATTTTCTGGCAGCTTGGATAAGAGTATGAGATCCGCAATCGCGTTGCTCTGTAAAACGGTTTGTGATTGGTCGAGGACGTCGTCTGCGTCGGACTCAATTGATTGGGGTAAATCCCCAACAAAAGACACTCGATTTGACCTCAGCCCGTCTTGGGATCGCTTCTCGTTTTGCCTCGGCCCATCCTGAGACGCACCCTTGACAGCTTCACTGTGACTAACACAGCTGTTGCCGTCATCCACGTGTGTACGGTCCGAGCACTGAACATCTCGTCCGCTCTGTAACTCGGGCGACGTTCCATTTTGTATGTCACAGGATGAGTTGCGTGACGTGTCGCCGAGAGCAACATCCTGATGATTTAAGTGACATCCTTCACCCGAGGCGCCCACCGAGCCCGAGCTCGGCTCGTTCCCACCAAGCTGGTTCTCAGAAGCACGCGTATCGCACCCGCGAGATCTCTCGAAGTTATCCTCTGAAATGGACGATTTCGCCTCCGATGAAACATTGTCAAGCAGGATACCTTCCTGTATCGTTGCAAGTTTGATCTCACCGAATTCCGATGCGTGATTATTCTCTCTCCACGCATCTTTAACACTCGGTGACGTAATGGAATGACGCTCCTCGCATTTCCCGTTGCCTAATTCTTGTGGCTCGCTTTTATAAATGTTGTCCAACTGAATAATTAATCCGGGGTCTTTGGGGGATTGTTTTTCGGGTTTTGTTGTGTTGTCGTCTTTGTTTACACAGGCGTGTCCGTTGCTCCTGACGGCGTGGTCCTCGGGCGAGGAGCGACTTTCTGGGATTTCTGTAGCCTCCCTAGTTCCCACAACCCAACTGCACCTCTCTTGACTAGACGGCGTCACGGCGTCACCCCTGTTGTACTCAGTTGTGACATTTGCAACCGCTGCTCGCGCCAGCTCTCTCACGCCTCGCCTGCTGTCCGTCTCGCACGATCGAGACCTGTATCGCCCTTTTCGGTGACGTTTGAAGTATCCCTTTGTGTGAATGGACGGCACGGAAGAACGCTTGGAGGTCAAAGATGGCGTGCTTTCCGCGATGTTGTCTGTGGACGAGTCGTAGTTAGTGGACGATGTGTACATGTTGTCGTCCATCAGCACGGTTCCCATGATGGCGTGTGTTTTCATGTACTTCCGGTGTCGTCGCGTCTCCATCCATATCCGGATGTAGAGCGAGACCAGCGCGGCGGTGAAAAGTACAAAAAGTGAGGCCAGGATGGCTTCGTAGATCAGAGGGTACGACTTGTCCCGGAAGTAGTCATCCACTGAGCAGTCATGGCCGTAGACGCCCGCTAATGGCGTCTGAAAGGTTCTGTGCCCGTAGATGTAAAGGGCGGGCACGGAGAAGATGACCGAAACTATGACGATGGCGATGATGGCGATTTTGGCGTAGGTGATGTGGATCTGGCCGTGAAGGGGCTTGCAGACTTTACGATAGCGGTCAACAGCAATGACCATGAGAACCATGATGGACGCAAATGACGGAAGAGTGGTCAGGAATCTGGGAAATGGAAAACAATACCTTTAAATAATAGGTACAATATTACTTAGTTGATTAAATTTATAATGGTGCACTTTTCAATTGATAACCAGGACTAGTGGATTAGCCATCAAAAGTCCCATTGCATTAGTTTCTTTGGTTTTTTTGTTCTTTGATTTCTAGTCACCAAGCCTATTAGATTAGTACTGTAATTGTAAGTAAACTTTCTTTAAGGCTTTCCATTTTGAATAATTTTTTTTTTAAAAGTATTATTTAATTCCATAAGCTAACATAATTTTATAAGTATATGAATGATAAACACATGTCCTAACTAACATAAAGTCATAAGTATATGACTGCTAAATACGTATACTACCTACTAGTAGGTAACCGTTAATCTTTTATCTCACGCCATTTTCTCTCAATCTCATTCTCCCTCTCCAACTCTACTCCTGTCTCTTCCTCCCTCCCTCCATCTCTCTATTTCTTTATCTCTTACTCTCTTTGTCTTTATCTCTCTATCTATCTATCTATCGGTCTCAAACACAATATTTCATAACATTATCAATATCAAATTTACCTTAAATTAAAATATTTCTTAAGCTATTTTTTTTTTTTTAGCTATTTCCTCCAGAAAATGAAATGTATCAAATTCACAATTTTTTTTTTAAAATTAATATTTTAAAAGCACCCACCTCATAGATTTACACGCCCACGGCGACGAGTCGTACAGGTAATAGTGCCTCATGTCCCAGATCTCTGACGGGATCCCCACGACCGTGCTGACCAGGTCGAAGAACCCCAGGCAGAGAAGGAGAAAATTCTGGGTCGTCTTGCGTAGTTTCTTCATGAAGATGTAGCAGACGAAGATGTTGCCCACCACGCCGACGACCATCAGGCCGATGAAGACGGCGATGGCCGGCGCGAGGCGGAGAAACATGGCGTCGTTGAGCTCTTCCAGGACGGAGGTGTTCCACATGTCTGCCCCGAGGTCCCCGCTCAGGTTGAGCCCGGCACCGTCGCCACCGAGTGAGTCGGAGAGCCCCTTGCCGTCCAGCATCATGGTACTTCCCGATTCGCGGCCCGGGTTGACACCCAAGATGTGGGGGGCGGGGGGGGGGGGCTGCTCCCTCCCCTCCCCTAACCTGCTGCCGGGTGGGCCTGGCTTCTAAGTGCTCCGTGTCATGCCATCGTAAACCGTTTAACGGCCTCAAACGCTCAGTGCTTTTTCGCGGCCCGGGTTGACACCCAAGATGTGGGGGGCGGGGGGGGGGGACTGCTCCCTCACCTCCCCTAACCTGCTGCCGGGTGGGCCTGGCTTCTAAGTGCTCCGTGTCATGCCATCGTAAACCGTTTAACGGCCTCAAACGCTCAGTGCTTGTCCTGGCCAAGGGAAATAAAACAAAAATGAGAAGAGTTAACTTTCCTTAAACTTAAAGACAAAAGAAACCCTAGTGCCCCAGTGCATTCTTTCTTTCTTTCTTTTACCAAAGCCCACTACAACCGGATTACAAAAAAAACAAAACCACAACATTAAAGTGACCTGTAGGACGTCCAACTTTGATAGCAAAAAGTTTGTAGCAAAAAGTCACGAAAAAAAATTAATTTGATTTCTTTTTCAACTACAGCAGTAAAGAGGAAGATACTTTTCGACTAGGAATCACTCGTTAAATAACAACTGAGGGTGAAATAAGTATATCTATTATGCACAGAAATATAATGAACAGATATGTCGATGTTTTTCTTTAAAGTAAATGAAACTTCATCCCCACCCACCCCCTTTTTTCCATTTTCAACAAGAGACAGTCATGCTGGCATTTGTTGACATTTCTGGGGACGTATTCCCCAATAGTGTTGGCCTGCTTACACGAAGAATAATTTCATTGGTTGAAAAAAAAATATTCATGTTTTCAAGACCTTTGTGAACTTATCGGTACTGTAAGGATGCGACAAAATTATAATACAACTGTTCTTTTAAATAAATAATGTATGATATTAAAGATTATTCACATGGTTATATTTTGACTTTAAAAATCTTGCAAGTTGCAATTTTTTTTATATCTTTATTTTAATAATTTAAAACAAAAATAATTTCTGAGGGGGTGTGGGCTTGGGGGTAGGATGGTTTATCCATTTATAAATGTTACAAAATTGTATCTATATATCGGTGCAGTGTGGTAACTTTGTTACTGAGATAGAAGACACGTACGAGTGCATCCCAAAACATGAGAGTGCATGGCTGTATTTCAATCTAAGTCAGTAACCTGACTATTTCAGCTCAAACCCCAGAGCTTAATCTACTCCCCTCCTACCCATTCTGACTCCTCCCACACGGTGTCATCTGGGTAATTAAATTTCTTGCAGAGACACTTACTAGTTGAACATTTCTATAACGCCTCCTACCTTCGGTTACGTTAACAAAAAAAAAAAATGATTATTCTTACACTCTCCTACTGAACTTTCATTTCCAAATGGGTCTTTGGCACACAAAGAAGGAAATCTAAAAGTGGATTGAAATGGGGGTTCATTGTTCCCAGGATGTGTGCACAAAAACTTCAGAGTGTGCTCCATTTTTAGGAAATTACGCAATAACTCCAGAAAGTGCACCATTTTTAGGAAATGTGCGAAATAATGTCAGAATGCGCTCCATGTTTAGGAAATTTGCACATTATGATTGCCAAATGAGATTTTAAAACGAAGAATCTATGTAGGAGCCAAAATGATTAATAAATTGAGGCTCAGAGGTTCCCCGTCAGTGAAAAGGAAGGTCTGTTGGTAAGGAAAGGTCATGGACAAACTTAAGCGACATTTCAGGATTGATTAAGGGTGAAGGCTACGAACACAATTTTGTTTGTGTGTTCATGCTTTTTACAAAGGAAAGAATACCCAGATCGTTAAATTTGTTTTTTAACTAAGTTCACTAGCAGTTATTTCCTTTGTTTCTTAACGGCAATCAGAGGCGTAGCTAGAGTGTTTGGCGCCCTGGGACAAGATTAATTTTTTTCAACCCTCAAAGCCCATAATTTTCATCAATAAAATAATATCAAATCACATTATGGCGACCCTAACTAGTCTGACATCTGTGCCCCCCGCCCCCCCCCCTTAGCTACGCCTCAGCCGGCAAAAACAGTTTTTCACTTTTCTTACTTTCCTAGGTTACGGAACAAATTTTTTTGTTTAATATCATTTTTGCCCTGACCTAATTATGCCTTCTGGCAGCTGGCACGGCAGTAACAAGAGAACTAAGATTGTGCCATTTCGAAACCTGTGGTGTTTGTTAGAGGGACATAACCCACGCGCTTACCACGTGCATACTTGTCACCCTAGCCACTCAACGTCTTTCGTGTGTGTGGGTGTGTGGGGGGGGGGGGAAGGCTGTCGTCGACATTCTCAAGCTGGTTAAGTTAATGTGTCGCCGCCACTGAATAAATAAACCTTGTAGTATGATTTGGGGGGGGGGGGTTGTGTTTGAATCACTGTCCTTACAAGTTGCTTCATTTTTTTTTTAACAACCCTTTTGTCTCTGGGTTGAACTTTCACTTTTAAATGTGGTAAAGTGATAAGTTGAAACCATTGAGTTGTCGTTTTGAAAGTAGGGGGGGGGGGGGTGCTATGGTGAGGGGAGATTTACCCACACATGTTGAATGAGAACATTGATTCATGGAAGGTGTTAGGCATAAACCATTTGTTACCCACCTGTTAGGGTCTAGATATTCCCTGACGATACACACTCTAATGATTCTTTGTTTTTTTTTGGTCCTGTTGTTAGCTTGCCACGTTGAGACACCCCCCCCCCCAAACAACGCCGTGGTGAAAGAGACCGATGCAGTCAATGACCTGGACGCGGTAAGAATACTAAGAGAAAAGAAGTCTTGGAATTTTCTAAAACAAAATATAACAAAAAACTAGCAACAAAACCGGACTACTTTGGAACGGACGGACACAGAGTTTTCATTTCCGGTCATGCAATGAACCATGTCCAAGCCAAAGACTGAAAAGGTCGGGGCGACCCGGTTTAGAATTTCGCTGGAAAGTGAACTACAACCGGAAACATGTCCTCTGCCAATCTCATGCACTAAGACGAAAGGCGTTCCTTCCATCCCCGTAGTAGACGGTCGGCCGTTATTTACATCTGCGATGGGAATTTTACACACAATTTATTTGATCATTTTAAAAAATAAAATCAACTATTGATTCCTACGTAGTTTCTCTGCTAGCCAAGGCTTCTCAAACTGGCAGAAGCTTCTGTACCTAGGATGCACTGGCATCCACCAAAAAACAAAAACAACAACATCCACTATGTATATTGTAACTATAATCCACCGATACTTCAGGAAATAGTGGAAGAAGGTGTGTGGATGCTTGAAATATAAAGACAGGACAAATACTTCGGGCCATATTTGAGAACCGCCGATTTAAGCTCTCTTGACTGGTGTCAGAAGATATAACAAGAGTACACTATTAAATTTAGTTCGGAATCCACCAAGCCTACCGCGGTCTGTTACTTTTAATTGCACGTTATGAGACGCGGCTAATCTGGACATGACGTCACATCCTGTTCCTAACACGAAATCTGAGCAGATTGTGCAAGGGACGTAATCTTCGGGAACGCTCGGCCGCTGCAGCGTCGCCGCTCCTGTTACGGGAAGTCCCTGCTCAAAAGTGCACAATTTATGGAATCGCGGCGTCAGAGGAGGGTTCGTAGGAGGGGTTCACACGCCAATGCCGCCGCTCCGACTTATTCTTTTGGGCATAGTCATACCGTATACTAAGCATACTACTATTTTAAAGCCAGATCTGACTTTATTTTCGTTCCCCCCCCCACCCTTTTTTAACACCATTTTATCCTCCGGGTTTGAGATGTGACGCATGTATTCCAAGAAAACTATAATATCACAGCTCAGAGAGGTTACTTGAAACGTAACGCCCATGGTGTATGTTTTCTTTGCTCCCCTGATAGCTCCCAGAAGAAATATTGGTGGGAAAAGAGGTGGGGGGGGGTAGTGATGGATAATGCAATAAATCCCGTGATAGAGTCCAGCTCATTCATGACAAAGGTTGATATCGCTTGTTATTAACAATTCATTTGGGGGGGGGGGGGGATTTTTTTACCGGGACACATGCGAACTTGGTGAACCGTCTATTTGAGACCCCCCCCCCTTTTTTTTTTCACCCCCCCTCCCCCGCGCAAATTTATGTAAGGTGTTGATGGCTGTCACGAAATAAAACAGCACTATTGCTATCCTTATTTTACACGCGTGCTACCAAAATATCGAGGATACCATTGTGAAGAATGCCATCCAGCCTTGTGAAGGGAAGGAAAGGAACAAGACATGGCCAAGCTATGAGATACAGAACGAAACAATGACACGGATGTCTTTGCTAGATCGTACACAATTCTTAGAATCTGTGTAATTCCTGGTCAATGGTCATATATTATTTTTAACCTCAGCCAGGTATCTCTCCTTCGTTTGTATTGTTCTGTTCGCGGAAGAAGGCGCTCAGCCGAAACCTCCTTGAACTTAATGGGGGGTTTATTTTTTTGTTCGTTATTTCAAGCTTTTCTATTTCCATGCTCTTAATAGTTCCTTGAGACCAGGTTAGCAGGTGTGGGAGTTGTCTCGGGACTTAGGTATTGTTTCATTTCTACAGCAAAGCAGTGCGGATTACTGCGGATCGCATAACACCGGAAAGGGTCTCTAAGTGACAATGTCATGATGTCTTCCTATGTTACAGAATTAAAGTTGTTGTTTATTTTTTAATTTAAACCTGGAAGCGGACCGGGGCGGGATGGAGTGGGATTGAGTTGGATAGAGTGGGATAGAGAGGGGTAGAGTGGGATGGTGTGGGTGGTTTTTGAAGTTGAGAGTTCTTTGACGAATACAATTCCTTGGATTAAAAGAAAGCGCTGTGTTAATTTGATTTACATGTTTTCATGAAGCTACAGCCCCTACCATCGCGTCAGTTACACACAAGAAG